GAAATAATGACCACATATCAAAGAAGAAAGCATGAAAAACCAAAGGAAAAGCAACCACGTAAACACTAACAAAGACCTATTTGTCGTAACATAAACAATTTCAACTACTTACTTCAAAGTTCAAGTACTAACAATGACTAATTTTATTTTGTATTTGAGAAGTCACATATGTGATGAAAATGCCCTAAAGCACTAAAAGAAAAGGTAAAAACTGATTTTTTTTTTAATTTTTATCTGTTATCATACTACTATCTAATACTGACTTGATGTAATATATTAAATCAGATTTTGAACCAAAAATCCAGAACCTGATGGCTATTATTAAGAATCTGGCCAGCTATCAAGTGCTAAGGCCTCGTGGATGCGATTTGATCAAAATTTTGGACTTGGTGTTCATGCAATTATTGCTTTACGAAAATGTTGAACGAAGCTCATCAAGGAACTACATAATAGAAATCCTGGAGAACCATTAACTTATATCCTAGGAAGATAAAGTTCTAAACTAGCTTCAATTATGAAGACAATTGGACCTATCTAGTTTATGCTACATGATAAACCTAGTTCAGCATCCAAACTATACCTCACACCACATTGAAAGTATAAATAAATAATGGTGACTTTCACAAATTCCTCCTGGACTTTGGTCTTTTTTTGGGGGGTGGGGAGGGCGTTTGCACAACCCCTTCCTGAACTTTATACAATAGAGAAATCTACTGAAATTTGAAAATTATACTAAACCCCCTTTAAAAAAATCTCATAAATGACGTAACAAGTAGAGCTCATGCCACTTCATGCCACAACCTTCACTGACAGTAGCACAAAACTTCTCAAATTCAGTGTAGCCGAACCAAGGATTTACAGAGAAATACTAAACATCAATTTTCAGAAAGATAGTAGAACCTTGTTGGAGCTCTCTATCATCTTTTTACTTAGTGGACTGACAGGATCACTACTAGCTTATAAAAGCATATCAGTTCAAGGAACAATGCAATTATGATTGAGAAATAAAATTTCCTTCTATTTATCCAAGTGTATATGTTGTGGAAGGATATCACTGTATGATACTTTTAACCAGCAACGGTATTTCTATTGGTTGCTGAAAAGAATTCGGTCTTTCCACTGTCTATAACATCTAAAACCAGCACCTTAAAAGAATATTTGGTGCTTTGTTTCTCATGCTTCTATATTTATCGTTATCTTATTAAACTTTTATACTTGGAAGCACGACTTGGATTTAGATTTTCTTCCAAAAAGTGCATCTACATCGACAATAGTGTTTTTTGCCCAAGTTATATAACGGGACTATTTAATTAGCTGTAAGTTTTCTAGCGAAACAATGTTCTTCCAAGTTTAATGTATCTGTTTTATCAGGATCATTAAACTGCATAATATGGAATAATCATGAACTGTTTCTTATTTTTCCCCGTAATGAACTTTTCAGGAACTAAAGATACACAAGTGTAGTAGCTAGATGTCTTACACGGACTTCTTCAAACTATTTTTGTCACTGGTTGTCTGGTGCATTGCCTATGCTACAGTTGCAATTCTTGTCTCCATCAGACTTTGTAATTCTACCCACACCTATATATTATGAACTAGCAAAGAGTTCAATATATCTTCCATGGTCTTTATACAGTCTACGGGCATACATTAACTTTCAGATGATACAATGAATGCTGCAGGTTATTTCTCTTTTTCTTTCTTTTACCAGTTGTTTCGTAGAGATTTTCCCCTTCGTTTTTTCGTAGAGATTTCCCCTCCATACAATGCTCATGTTAATCTTTGTAATAAAAAAAATTAGATAATTTAGAATGAATCTCACAATCTTTCTTGTCACATTTCTCTTTGTTCAATCTAATATACAAAGATGTATGCCAAATTATAGTTTTTGCAATGGCTAGATATGTGTATCCAAATGTTCTTGCTAGAATTTTAGTATCATGTTGCTGGTTATCCATTTCATTGCTCACATCTCATAGATGATACATATGGACTGTGTTTACACATAAACTAGTTTCAGACCAGTGCGATGCACGAATTTGTGTATTTCTTAAACTAGTAATATTTTTCCAAATAGGAAAATGTCACAATTTTCAAAATAAAATTAGAAAAATAAAAAAAATACCAAAACAGATCCTTGGTAGTATTACAATATTGTTTCACTCATAAGTAACCACCCTTAATTTTGGACGATAATCAGGTAACCCCTCACAACTTTCATAATATCCGAATATTCCCTTAAGCTTGGACGTTATAAAAAAACCCACTTTAACTTCAAGGATTTATCAGAAACTCGCCAAAACAGCATTAATCGCAATTTTTACATGCTGGGTAGGTAAAATTATAAAATTATTTTTTATAGTGAAAATTGAGATTCACATTTTTAGGGTAGTTTGCTAAAAACAAATCTTATCAAAGGGAATTTTCGGATAATCTCTGAACTTATTTTGATATTTCGAAAGTTATGGAGGTTATATAATTATTGTTCAAAGTTAAGGGGGGTTTTCTGATCATTAGAAAATTAAAGATATACTGAATAATGTTTTAAAGAACCAAGTAAAATAACCTGGCAATATTTTTTTAAAATCAAGGCTCTTAGATAAGAGATGTATTTCATCACTTCCTATTATATAAGATATAAAATCTATCAAAATTTGGCATTTGAGAAAACAATTCAAATCATAAACATAAGAAAAAAAGAATCCTACCTGGACATATTTGGTTTATTGTTTACGAATAGGAACGATAAAGAAAAGGAAAATAATACTACACAAAGAAATATAATCATTCATAAAGAAACAACTGTAGATTTGTCAGGAATTTATTAACTTTCAAATGAAGGAAATATGACAAAAATAAACTATTTGTTCACTGCGTTTCATTTTAAACAACAAGCCATTGTTAAACATAGAAAAACTTGCAGGCAAATATCTTATAAATGTAAAAATCAAAATATTTGTCTTTCCGTTTGTACTATAAACCATAGGACAATAGCCGACATTTTTTCACAAAAATATGTTGGTAGATGCTTTTTGAAGATGGCATTACAAAGCGAGAACCTCAACTTGGTATCCAAATCCATGTCCAACATCTTTGAGCATGACGAACCAGCATATCTACATCAATAAAGATATAATAGATATCAAAGGATACAAGACGATTTACACTCCCCTTTGTAAGGAAGAATTTCTTATAATACATTGAGTACATACTCCTCAGTTCATCTTTATCTGATATGTTTAATTTTTCTGTTGACTGTCGTTCAAACCTTTTGTCTTTTTCTGTTAGATATTTAACTTTAGTTCTCATTGTGGAATGTAAATCCTCTTGCATCAATTGTAAATAATTGTTAATTTGTTTTGGTTTTGTTTTTATTTACTTATTTATTTTTTACCCTCAATACAGGACAGGTTTGTGCAAGTAAGGGAAGTCTATTTGTTCTCACTGACAAGGGATCTGTTCTTTTTTCATTGGGATGGATCGGTTCTAAAGCTTGGGCTTTTCTGACAAGTGGTATTCAGATAAAGTTTGAAATGAAAATTCCCTGAAAAATTATAATCCCTTTACATCTTTTAAAGTATAACGCTGACTGTTGCTATAACTAACCAAGGTTATCGATATATTTGGTGACAAAGAGAAGCAACAGCATGTCAGGGGTCCTAAAGCACACTGAGATCATGATGAACAGATAAAAAGGATGATGTGCAGTTATCGATGAGAAGATGCATATTTTTAGCAAGGAGTGTATGTGGTAGTTTCTTCTGGTTCTGTATAATGAATTTTGTCTTCTGTCAGTTACAAGTAATCATCTTAAAAGTAACCGAAACATGTTATGGAGTAAGACATCCAAGATGTTGTTTCACATGAAAAGTATACTGAATACATTGTTATTTGCTTTTATGTTTTCATATTGAATAAATTTGAGGCTTTTGATATATTGAGATATTATTTATTTCGGACAGTGATAAGTTGTGGGAAAGTATACATGTTATTTGGATTAAAACTGTTTTCTTGCAGAAAATTTGTCTTTCATCTTTTTAAGACATGATGTGTTAAAATAGTAACTAAAACTAAGAGGAATTAGTGGTCGATCTACAGCTTATACATTCTCAATGTTATAGAAATTGTATAATTATTAGTGCCAACTTTCAGCCGTATGATTCTGCATCTGAAGAAATAATGCTATGAATTAAATTATTTGGCTGAAGTATCTGGGTTTTAGTACAGCGATTATCTTCCTTTCTTTTGCTTTCTCCATAGTTGCTATCAGTATTGTAGTTTATCCTTAGCATTTCATTCTCCACTCGAAAACTAAAGATGAATTGTGCACGAAGTACCTACATATGATATACGGATTTGGATCCTAGTCACTGACAGAAGGAAAATGATAGGGGCACATCCCCAACCACACCTCCAACCACACCCCCTCTCTCATTTGCTACAGTGCACCGTGCCTCATATGTGATTTTAAAATTTTAAAATCACATGTGGGGCCCTGTGCACTATAGCAAATGAAAGAGGGGGTGTGGTTGGAGGTGTGCCCCTAGTGCCACCCCTGTCAGAAATCTGTAGAATGGTCACTATTTTTAATCACAAATATATTACTATCTAGAATGAAAAGTGAACAAATTACAAGGATGTAGTTGTTGGTGTTAGAGTGAGAATGAACAATAATTTTCAAAT